CTCTTTTTAATGGGTTTTGAGAACAAAACATCTCTCCCTAGGAAGGAGCTTCAGAATAAGATGCCCACAGTTAGTTATGACACTCAAGCCTCTTGCAGAGGAAATAGATATTTTATGTCACCATGAAACTGCCCAGCCTGCCAAGGCCTGCTGTGGAAATGGTGGCTCTGAGGACAGACAGGAGATGAGCACATCTGACCTGCAGCGGAGGCAAAGGCAGAATCAGAGATCCGTGTTCTCTCCCAGCCAGAGGGGCACCCTGGCCTTTCTGCTGTGCCTGAGTTATCAGGAAGCCACACACAGCAGTTAGGGAGTGTGGATAAAATGAGAGTTCCTGTGGCCAGGATTCTCACTGGCCTTGGTTGACTAGCTCACTGCACACCTGTGGGCAATACATGGCTGTTGACTCTATATAAAGAGCTCCGCCCAGTACTCTGGGCACGACATGGTGGCAGGGCTGTAAGGCTACAGGAGAGCAGAGCAGAGGACAGAGGCCCAAAGGACAGCTGTTTGGGACAGCTGTACAGGCAGAGAAGTCTAGAGGACAGCTGTGCAGACCGACGGGCCCAGAGGCAGAGACCAGCTTGCTGCATGCAGACTCGCTCTGAGTGGGCGGGATTTTGGTGACTGACCTGCCACCTGGAAGTAAAGTTGGGTGTAGCCCTTTTACCCCAGGAATGTTTTGTTGTCAATTTCTTTGGTCACACTGAATCCACAGCAAACTTGCCCAGGGCTGAAACCCATTGGCAAGATGGGGAGGAAAAGGAGGGGACAAATAGGGGTCCCTGGCCTGGTCCAGCCCTGTCCAAAGGAATGAAGCCTGTAAAAGCCTCCCAGGAACAAGTCTTCCCCTGGGGCAGGAAGGTGTAGGTGAGCAGGGACATGTGTCCATGTGCAGCCACCCTGAACCCTCTGATTCACTGGAGTCCCTCACTTTAGCTCCTGCCTAACGTCTACCAGGCCATGTCCACAGACCATTCCCTCACGTGAGAGGTATCCCAGTGTCTGGCCACTAGAGGCAGGAAGACCTCTGTCCAACTGTCACTCTGCCATTTCTAGCTAAGTCATCTTGGATGACTGACCATCTCTGAGCCTCTGTTCCCTCTTCCAGGAGCTGAGGAAAATAGTGCCCATCTAACAGTGCTCTGAGGCTCCAAGAAGGTGAATGCCAGGCACCACTGCAAAGTTCAAAGTATCATGTCTAAAAATATTATTACACAATTGTCCCACCCAGAGCCTTAGTGATAATGTTCAAGAAGCTTCCTTTCAGAGATGCAACTTTGCAGGTCTTTCCCACACATGCCCTGGAGACAGAGACGATAAGGCAGGAGCCGGCCCTCAGGAGCACCCAGAGCACAGGGGAAACAAGACAGGCAAACACCTGATTAGAATCAGTGCCAAAGATGCTATGAGATGAGAGTGTAGCTCTGGAAACTCTAAAGAGAAACAGTGTCCACTTAGGGGATATAGGTTGTCGGCCTATGATCTAGGCCTTGAAGGGTGAGCAGGATCTTATTGGCTAGGCAGTTATTGGGACAGGAAGGACATTTTAGGAAGGAGGAGCCACATGAACAGAAAATCTGGTGGTTGTATATGACCCAGAATATTGGGAACATAATGAATGGTCTGAAGTGCTGGAGAATGTGGTCTATGATGGGGAGTGGCAAGAGGGAGGTGAGAAAGGTGAGCTGGTCTAGACTCAGAAGCAGCTAATGGAACTGATCCCATAGAACATGCTATCCAAGAAGACTTTCTGTGATGGAAATGTTCTATCTTCACACTGTCCAATGTGGTAACCACTGGCCACATGTGGCTGTTGAGCACCTAACATGACTTGTATGATCGAGGGATGAAACTTCTGGTTTTATTTAATTTTAATGTAAATTTAAAGAGCTATAAATGTTCCGTGGCTTCCAAATTGGACAACACAGCCATTGAACTTACGATGATAACTTTGAGTGTGTAGAGGGAACCCTTAAGGCCCTCACCTTAAGTCCTATCCTTAGCCCATGAAATGGGAGCTCCCACACAGGCCACTGTTGTGGTTGTGCAAACGCATGGATGAACTGGGCTGAAATATACCTTGTTTCCTGCCCGCCAAGGTGTGCACCCCGATGTGGCTATGTCTGCTCAGAGGAAAGGGCAGTTTCTTCCAGTTCTTACAAAGGCATCATGTAGGCCAGCAGCAGCTCTGCTTCCACCACTGTCCTCCATGATCTCTCTGCAAGTAGAGTCAGGCTTCCCTCTGCTCCTGCCTCTGGGAGCTTCTGGGCCAGGTAAGCACACCTGGGAGCCAAGTAAGCTTCTGGGCCAGGTAAGCACATTCTGGGTGTTGACCATCACTCAGAAATGCCCCCACAAGGCACTGACCTTAGAATCAATTGCAGCTTCCTTATATATGTTATTGTTTTCAGTACATAATCTTTATAGATTAATATTAGTGAATCTTGACAAAATACTAGTATCTATGTCAGTTTAAATATGTTCTTTTATAAACTGATGAGAGATTGCTCTGATTTGGAGAAGTAATGAATCAGAGCATTGGTGTTGTATTTTTCTGGATGTATTTCATAGTCTTACAAAATATTAACATTTTTATGGCTTCAAAATAAAAACTAAACAAATCTTAACTTCACTGGGTAGGAAATCAGAAAAAAAACTGGTTGCCTGGGCCCAATGCCAAAGCAAGTGAAACTGGCGTTTCAGGCACCGTCTTCTGAAGCCACCAGTGCCCTCTTTGTTCACAGCTAAGCAGCTGGCCCCAGTGCCTTGTGTCTTGCTGTCTCATGGATATTTCAGTGAAAAGCTTTCAATTCCATTTCCACATCTTTTCTTTTTATAGCTCTTTTGTTCTAGGACTCCACTGAAGGTCCTAGAGCTGTCCTCAGGAATACTCTCCCTCCATCTGCTGTTACCTGTTGGCCTTGAATGAGACAAATGCCCCTCAGCTTTGCCTTTTCTTGTACTTGGTCCTGCAGGTAATTAGATCCTGGGGTACAGAGGGGGCCCCCATGGCCCTCCAGACTGGTTCTGATGTATCAGGACCCAGCTTAAGCCACCTTATCTGTTATACCAAGATGGTAACATATTGGAAAGAAAATGAGACAAGTGCTTTGAGCTTTGCTGCTTCCTGGTAAAGCAGTGTGGGGTCCTTGTTAGCATTTGATAGGCTCCACTTGACAGAAGGACATCACTGGTCTTGGTCACTGTCCTGAAATGGGCTCTGCCACTTGGCTAGCCTTCGCCAGTCAAAAGTTTTTTCTGCATACATATCAACAGGCTGGAGAGAACTCTCCACAATGAAAACCTCTTTTTAATACTTAAAAATTAAATCTCAGGATGTATTTTGGGACAGAGGGGCAATAAATTATGATTTACTATGTGCCAAAAGTTATGCCAATTGTATACCTTATTAAATTCTCACAACACCCTGGAGAAGGTTTTATAATCAACATTTATGGATGAAAAGTGGAGGTGGAGAGAGTAAGTGGCTTGCCTAAGTGAGGGGTTGAGCCAGAATTCAAATCCAGGTTTTTCTGACTACAAAGCTAATAGTGTTTTCTGAGTGTTGCCCCTCCAGAGGGATTGTTTTTTTTCTATAAAGTATCCCAAATCACACAATATAGCTGGCCTTCTCTGTGTGTTACCACTGGGATCTCATAGAACCCCATATTCCCACCATAGTCTGAGACTCTGCAAAGTGCACATACAACTAACCCGGAAAACATACTGTTTGAGCCACACTGGTAGAGAAAACACCCAGAACCCCAAAGCAATAGGCAGCCCATGGCAAATGCTATCTAATTGCCCAGCTCAAGGCTTAGCCTACAACTTCTGCAGGGCGTCACTCTAAAGATAACCCAAAAGGTCTCAGAGCTTCCTGGTTGTTAGAACAACAACTACAGTAGCAGGAATTGAGACCTAAAGACCAGCGGAGTATAAAAGAGGAAGGAAATGGCATGTTAAATGATTTTTTTCCCCCAACTTGCCCGGTTCTTTCTAGATATAGCCCCAGCACTTGCCTAGTTATAGTGGGAAAATTTGATTGATCAAATGCTAAAAGTTTTCTATCAGTTTCAAGTCTTTTCAAATCTCAGCGTGCTTTGAAGTCTGGGGTGCACTGGCATTCCTAGGAGATTCAAGCTTCTAGCTCTGCTAGGCTGATCTGACACAGACGCTCCCTCAGAAGGCCTTTCCCACGCTGCTGGATGAACCGTTCTAGGCCAGCAGTAGGCAACAGGCGTCACTGTCATTCATTCTCTGCCCTTCTGAAGGTTGCTTCTTCATCCCCTCCTTTCCTTGCTGCCCCTTGCTGGCTTCATCACGTTTGCTGCCCCTTTGGTTCTCTCGGTCTCCCTCACCACTTTTCTATTTCAGATCAAAGGACTTCCCCAGTTCCCGACTTCTGGATTTGCTCCCTGGAGGGCAATACAAGGGTAATACCTCCCCACTTCCTTTTCCAGGCACACAGGGTGCCCCTTAGCCCAAGTGACAATCTCTACCACCCACCCCCCAAAAGCTCTGGCGATTTCATTTCCGGCTCAGAAGTTGTAGCAGGAGAAGAGGTTTAGTTTGATGTGGTTAACTCAGTCATTATTGTGTCTTCATACTCTCAGCCCCAAACCGCTCCCTGGCTCATCACCCTCACTTTCCACTTCTCTGGATTATCTTTCATCTGTTCGCCACTCAGCCTCACAGCCTCCACCGAGGCCAGAGCAGGGGCCAGAAGGGCAGTGCAGTTCCGTCTGGTTACAGGGAACAAGAGAAAGAGAAAGCAAGGGCGCCTGGGACTGCAAAGACTGTTGTTACATGGTTTCCCTTAAGCCCCAGAAATAGAAAGCCAGACTTCCGACATGCAGAGCCCCTGTGCAAACCACCAGACCACACGGCCAGATAAGAAAAATGTTAGATTGTGTCATACTTCCTTCATCAGCTCCTGTTTCTGAAAATGGCCCTGCATTTTACAGAGCTTCACCATGATCCTAAGGTTTCGAGAAGATGGAAGAGGGAGGACAAAGGGATCAGGCATTTCTCTGTTCTGATATAAATTTATTTTCAACCACAGATTATGAAATATTAGTTCTGACCTAACTTTCTTACTTGCATGTACAAGAGAAAGAAATGAAGTGGACATTCACAGGCAGTGAGAAAGGGGGCTCACTAGCCTTGTCAATTCATGGGTGACCTTTTGTTGAGCACCTACTGCGAACCAAGCACTGTGCTGGTGCTGCACATTCGAAGAGGATGAGACCTTGCAAAATGAGATGGTGGAAAGATTCAGATTCACCTAGATTCCAATTCCTGTGCTCAGAACCATCTTCACTGTGGAAAAAATTTTGCTTTGCTCTCCCAGAGCAGGATCGGCGGGCGCCTGTTTGTCAGCCACTGCAGGAAGAGTGATGGCCGGGGTGTTGACAAGCTCCTAATTGGAAGGTAGGAGGTGCCACCAGGGATCAGCTGTAAAAGATATCTTTGGACCAGGGTGGGCTGCTAATGCTTGGAAGAGACTTGGAGGGGAGGCCTGGGGAAACCATGTCACCCTGGGATGGAGCCTGGCTCAGCAGACAGACGATGCAGGCAGGGGGGCTACTGACAGACAAGCCTTACAGAGAAGCCGCATTTCAGGGGATGGAAGCAACAGCCCAGAGACCAGGGCTTTAGGAGTCAGTGGGCTACTAGGGAGTGGAGCACAAGGAAAGGAGAGCCTGGAGTGGCCACAAAGCCCAGGATCAAAGAGGCAGGTCTGGGAGAGCAGCTGGTAAGGGCTTTGTGGTAAAGACAAGGTAAAGGAGAGACAAAGTCTCCTTTACTCAGCTAATAAAGACCCAACTACTTGTGAGTGGCTTCCACATGTCAATAGCTGTTTCAGGCCTTGAGGAATTCAAAGGAAGAACCAAGTAAGAATTTAACATCTAATTAAGAGGTGATCAAATCTGCACCCTGGAATTATTGCTGGATAAGCCTATCCTGCATGGGTAATGCAATATTGGCACTTGTGCTTATGAGCTCTTTTCTTTTATTACCTCATTTAATCTACACAAAATCCTGCAAAGTGGGTACAGTTGTTCTGTTTTAGAAATGAGGGTGCCAAGGTTCTGAAAGGCTGTGTAGCTTACCTAAGTTAGTCTGGCTAGGAAGTGGCTGAGTCAGGATTCAAATCCAGGTTGTGTGACCCTCCAAACTTTCTGGTACAGCCTGCAGCATCTCGTTACAGGACTAAGGAATACAGTGCTGCACTGGGCAAGAGGGAAAGTAAATACTTACAGGCTGATGGTGCAGGGGAGAGACTCGAAGGGAGGAGTCTGGGACGGAAGGAGAGCTGTGCATGAACAGGGTTAAAGATGGCTTCTTGGAATTGTAGGGTCAGTTGAACCTGGCTTAAAGCAGTGGTTCATGAGTCTTCTCTACTTTCTAAGCCAGAGGATGACGGTCTGGGTTAGGATATGGGCCGTCATATGCTTGCTGCCTGGCACAGCATAGATGACCTCCCTTGAAGACCTCGGGATTCCACACACAGCACATCTCTCTTGAGAACTCACTGCAAGGGCGAAGGCTCTACCCTATCAGATGAGACAGGCCACTGACAGGCCTGGCCCTCTGAATCATGGGTTTGCAACACTCTCAAATAACAGCAACTGGTCTTCAGCAAAAGTGAAAAGGAAACACCCCCCTTGGCCCTAGGCTGTGGCAAGCTTTGCTGTCCACAAGGGCCTGCGGGACATCCTGGCAAAGAGAGGAGGTGGCATAGGCATCAGGCACTAGGGTTCCAGGGCCTCCCGAGAAGGAACAGGTGTGAAGCAGAGCAATTAGCTGAGAAGGCATCAGTGGGGCAGGCAGCCTAGGTCTGATCAGGGAAGCCACCAAGATTACATCATCGGCTGGTGAGTAGGCTTGATTAACTCTCTAATGAACAGAGTATTGCAAGGGAACTTTTTTATTCTTCTTCAAAGAACCAGCAGGCATAATTAAATTTGTCTTTTAAAATGAAACCATTTTGAAAGGGGTACAAGCCTTCAAGCATCCCCCATGGTGTTCTGGGCAGCCTGGCTTCTCTGTCTGAGGGAGGAAAAACGTCTATTCACAGGCCATGACTTAGAGAGGCCCCGTGGTGAGTCAGGCACTCCCTGAGTGAGCTGGGGGGTTGCTAATGGCTCCAGGAACTGCTAATTTACCCATCTAATTTGTTCCTCTACACCAGCCACTAAGGGAGACTATTCAGTTATTTTGATCCAAAAGAGAAGCTGGTGTTTACCATGATCTCCCCAGCAACTCTGTGTGTATGTGTTTGTGAATATGTGTGTGTGTGTGTGTTTGCACAATGACCTTATGCAATGAAGAGGTGGGGGCACTGCCCTTGCTAGCATTTTCAAACACACTCCAATTCTGAATTGAGGGCAAGGGATCATAATGGAGTACCTTAGAGAGGTCTTGGCCTCCAAGGAGGATATAACTTGAAGGGTGTGTCTTTAAAACACAGGTGCACAGGGCAAGTGGCCACACAGTCCTACCACCCTGGGGACCAGTGAAGGGGGGCAGACATTTGAAAGTACTGTGCTAGCGTTTTACATATCATATCTTGTCAACTTCTCACAACTACTCTTTGTAGAAGGGGGTATTACACTTTCGTGGTTCCAGGCCCTTGCCCCAGTGTTTCTGCTTAGAGAAAGCCTACACTGCCTTAGATCCCACCTGAAAAATTCAGTCTCCCTAAGATCTTTCCTGACTTTATCAGTGAAGTTGATCATGCTCTCCTTGTGCTCCCAGAAAGTTATAGACCCTGGGAAGATGGTAGCCTCAATTTGCTCATCTGTAACATAGTGTTAACCATAGCTCACTGTGAGGAGTGAATGAAATAAACCATGGAAGTGTTTTGACAGTGGCTGGCACTTAGCCCTTGTTAGTCATCATTGTTATTGTTAATAATAGTAATAATACCACTTATAATTGCTCGCAACTAGTTGCAAGTCCCTTGAGTGTAGGGGGGGACTTTGTTCCTTGTTTTATATCCAGAGTCTACAAGTGTTTGGCACATGGTGGCCACTTGTTCTCTAGCTGAGGAATGAATGAATAAGAGGGAGGCATTTGCCACCTCTTCACTTCTGTGAGCTCCTGAGGATAGGCCTTTGCCTGACCCATTTCTGTATCTCTAACATCACCACTTTGTCTGGTGCAACCTAAGTGTTCAGTGACTATGTTGAGCAAATGAACAGGACAGTGAGACCTTGCTACCGGCCAGTGCCTGGCTCAGAGAGTCTGGCTGCATGCCCACCTCCAAGCTCTCATTAGGCTGGTGGTTGGCTCCTGTTCCATGAAATCAGGCCGTGGGCCCGTGATAGGTGGTGGGCTCCTCAATGTGGGAGCTGTGTCTTACTTTTAAATCCTTCATGTCCAGCGCAGCCTCTGGCACACAGAAAATACTCAAATGGCTGCCCGTGGGCTCTTACATCCAACTGGACTAAGGGGAGAGCAGGGCCCAAAATGGATTCATCATCTCTCCCCTATCACCACCCAGACTTGTCCTTCTCCAGAAGTTCCCCCTTTCTGTTTATGAAAGACCCATTTTCATAGTTAAAAAGGTCCAAAACTTCTTGGGAGTATTGTACCCTCATGGAAAAGAGCAGGCTTTGTGGTCAGACTTCTCTGGGCTTGAATACTGGCTTTTGCAACTACTGCCTGTCCTGCCTGGACAAGATACTTACCCCTTAGGAGCCCCAGTTTCCCCTTTCACCAAATCAGGATAATAATACACACTATTCATCCATTTAGTAAGTATTTATTGGGCACCTAATACGTGAGGAACTGCTCTACACCTTGGAGATACAGAGATGTGAACAAAACAAACATTGTTCCTGCCTGAATGGCACCTAAAAACTGGAGAGGGATTATAGACACTAAACAAAGAAGCCAGTAAACATTTACTGTGTCAGACAGTGGCATGTTTTATGGAAAAAAATAACAGAGAGTTGGGGGAAAGGTGGGGTGGTTGGGGTCGTGCAGGTCTTATCCAGGTGACAAAGGAAGGCCTTTTAATAAGGAGACATCTTCCCCAACATCTGGGGAAGAATGTTCTAGGGAGAGGGAAGAGCAAAGGCCCTAAAGCTAGTTTGGTGAACAACAAAGAGGCCAGTGTGGCTGAAGCCAAGAGAGGGAGCGTGTGTGGCACAAAGGGCACGTGGATGGTGAGGGCTGGACATGGAGGGCCTTGCAGGGCTTTGGCTTTTAGTCCGGGCAGGAAGGAAAACTCTGGAGGCTCCAGGCACGGGAGTGGGATGATCTGATGGAGGCTGTAAGAGGCTCCGCCTGGCAGCTGCATGAGGAATGGCCTGTGTGAATGTGCAGAAGCAGGAGGCCAGCCATTCACGCCCCACAGGCTTACTGTGAGGAGTGGATAAGGCATTAACCCTGGGCAGGTCTGGCATAGAGTAAACGCTCAATCCAGGTGGGCTGCTGTCGACGATTCTGCCAAGGCAGCTCCTCCCTTGTCTCCTGAGGACAAGTCTTACCCAGTCATGCAGGGACCCTCCTGCCCTTGCCCTCCCAGGAGTCCCCTCTGCCCCACACCTGCTTGCTTCAACCCTTCATGATGCGGAACCTCCTCAAATAGTCACCCATCTCCTGCCTCTCCCACACCAGTCCAAGCCAAACGCAACCCCAGCCACATCCCTTCCCTGCCCAGCAGGCTCCAAAGGACTGGTGGCTCATTATTGGAGGCTGACATTCAAGGATCTCCCCACTGCGGCGCTGCATTTACCTTTCCTGCCCATAGCCTACGGCCTTCCCAGGAATACGGAATGCCTGTGGAGAAAGAGTTGGGTGCAATTTGTCATCCCCAGCAGAATGACTGAGGAGCCTAAGTTCACTCCCAGTGACAAACTGATTATAAAGCACCCTCACCGCAGGTTTCCATGGCCACCTGACATGCTCCAACCCTGGTGGACACATATATGTGTATATTACTGGCTTACCCATCCTACTATACCAGCATGGATTCCACAATAAAGGAGTCTCTTAAAGCAATAAAATGGCATGTGGGTTCTCAAATGAGTTTCCTTTTTTGCTCTAATCTCCCCTGATACTGCTCCCTTGGGCCCCTCACCCAGAACAAAATGCCTTCATTTTGCCTTTAGTCGTTCTGATAGGAGATCCAGGTCCCGAGGCATGGAGTGCCATGCCCAGCTATCTGTCACAAGCTCCCCCAATCCTCAATTCCTCTAGCCTTTTTCAATCTGAGCTCAATCCACAGAGGATTGGTGCCTGGACTAAAGGCAGATAATAAGCAGATAATAGAACAGCAAAATCCCTGATATTACTGCTCTACCAGCCTGAAAAGCAGGCATCACCATATCCTAAAACATCCCCTATGATGGGACCTAAGAAGGATTTAAAGGCTGGCTATTTTGGGCCCTTCTCACAGGGAAGTATTAGCACCCAGGTTGACATCTACCACCATCTGGATCTAGGAAAGATGCCAAAGAGACCCTGGTTTCCATCATGAACATTCTAAAATAGCCTGCCTGAGGGTACTCCCCATCAGGATGTCAAAGCAAGAACAGCCACTCACAGCTGTGGCAAGCAGATGCCCCCTACCATTTTAAGCAGTCAGCTTCAGGTGCTAATGTACAGCCTAAAAACCTGAAAATGTTATTATGGACCCTTTCGGTTATCACCAGCAGGCTGAACCTGAGAAGGCTGATGGCCTCAGTCTGGAACATGGTTTCCTTCCCAATGGCAGGACACCTGGGCAATACGGCACCCACAGTGACACCCTATCTGTTCCGAGTGTCTAACTCTCCCTCCACCAACACCAGAGGCCAGGCATATTACATTTATCCCAAGCAGTCACTAGGAAAGACAAAAAAGGATGTGGCCTCCACTCTTGGTGCCCCCCCACCCTAAATTACCTTTACCATAGTTACCACAACCAGTTGGCTGCCCAGCACATAGGTGAAGGTACCCTTAAGCACATCTACTTCGCACATCTTTGTGAGAGCCTTCCTTACTGCAGTCCATGCCTCCATGACCTGGGTGTGGCTCAAGAGCTGCTTTGGCCCAGGGAGCCAAACACTGCCCTGCAGGTGATGACCCCAGGCCAGTCAGCTGCTGCATCTCACCTGGTTAGAGGATAACTAGCTGGGTGCCACATCATCTACCAAGGTGCCCCTTTCTGGAACACAGACATCTTCCCCTTGGGGATCCCCCACCCAGCATGTGCCACACACTGGACAGGGGTGGACACCAGACAGACCCCCAAAATTATAACTCTCTCCTCCCCAAACTTCCACATTGGGACAATAAACTCCATTCCCATACTGGTTAAAACTTCCCCTCCTGTACCTCCCAAGCAAGCCTACCAGTTGAGGCTAACTCCAAGCTAATCTGTAGGTATAAATGGTCAAGGCCACATCCCAACAGCTGGACCTCAACACTCAGGAATGCTCTGCCCCCATGAACAAGCCACCCACTTGTTTACACCATGCAAGATGACCCTTAGCTCATGAAACGGCCCATGAAACCATCAATACCAATGGCACTGGTCTTGGCCCCTAGGTCTTGCCTTGTCCTATCCAAGTGGAGATGCACAAGACAATGACTGATGTTATCAAGTCTGGTCCCCAGCCCATGAGTCCAGATTATGCATGTGTCAATGTCTGTGTCTTCCTAGGCTCATAGTATGCAGGACACCTAGCCTTCTGCTGGCCCAGATATTAAAGGAACATGAGTGATTCAGAACCCCAAAGGGAACCTGGTTCACCTGTCCCACTCCCCTAGGTAACCCCCTCCTGATGTCCACACTCTCCTGCACAGTGTACGAACTCTGACAGCCTCCTCACCATTCATCTGACAGCCCCATGGTTGGACCTTGCAGGTCACAGTCCCCATTTGGAGGCGATGAGCCATTTCCTGCCCATTACCCTAGATCTAAGAGTGACATTTGGGGGGTGGAGAGGTGGGGCTAAGGGCCCACCATATGATGGCACTTGGAAGATAGCAGATGCAGCAGAGGGCATGTCCATGCCTCTGTCAGCCCACATACCATCAACAGCAGCTGCACCTGAGACTCTCAGTGAAGCACAAACAGGTCGCCAAGTTGGACTGTAACAATATTCCAGCAAAAGTTTACCTGAACCTGTCATTAGTCCATCACTACCCTAGAACTACACCTCCAACTCTTGACCCCACACCCAGACTCTACTTTAGGCTGTTTCCTACCAGCCACACCTGCTCTGCTTACTGGGTTGGTTAGGAGAGCTGATTTTGAAAATCACTAGCTGCTAATCCCTACTCAATCCTTAGTAGTTCTGTGACCTAGAGCAAGTCCTTAGCTTTTCTGTGACTCAGTTTCCTCATATATAAAGTTATGATTGCATTATGTATTTCAGTGGCATGTTGTAAGAGGGTCAAAAATACCCACCTTAGTTAAAGCTCATAGTACAAGTCTGGCACAAAGGAAATTCTCAGGTATTCACTCATCAAGAGGCAACTCAAGTTCTACTTCCTCCAGAAAACCTCTCGTGCCCGTTCCCCCTCTAATTTCTCCTTAGTCCAATCTGACTGCAGTGTTGGTCAGCACCTCACTGTTGATCATATATTTTTTCTCCATTATATATGTACACGTTTAGATTTTCCAAGTAAGACATAAAGGTCCTCGAAAGAAGGGACTACTTTATGCCTGGCTCTCCTACTGACTTGCTGTGTCATCTTGCACTTAATTTTCTTGGGATTGAGCTTCTGTCTCTGGGATGGCAAGTACACGGCATGTGTGCCAATGTTTCCTCATCCCACAGCCTTGGGAGACACTAGTATTCAATGATGATTCTTATCCTCCAGAACCTCAGTCCAGATTCAGAATCCTTCTTAATACAGGGCTTTGGACAATGTCTACTAATTTACTCAATAAATATGCACTCAGTACTTACTAGGTACTATTCCTTATTTAGTAGTTGGGAGATCAAACTTTGGGTGCCTTGCCCAGGCACTTAGGGAATTTGTCACTTAGTGGGAAAGAAAGACAATAAGCAAATAAGTAAATGAAAAAATACCAGGAAGTAATAAGTACAATGAAAATGAAGTAGTGGTTAGTGCCTGGGGAGGAGATTGTTTCAGGCTGGTGTCCAGGGAATGGTCCCTGGAAACTTTGATCCAGTTGATTTGTTGTGGGCCTAAGAATACGTGTGGTTAACAAGTAAAGGCAGGAAATTGGGAGACACTGATATGGGGAGTTAGAGTGAGGGTATGGAGTCAGGAGGCCTCGGTTCAAATCCCTATTCCTAGAGTGATGTAGTTGGGTGACCCTCAACAACTTATCAAACTTCTCTGACCCTCAGCTTCCTTATCGGCAAAACTGGACTACTACTACTACTACAGATCTCAGAAGGTCGTTATTAGGATTAAAAAGATAAAACATATAAAATACCTGGTACACATAGTACATGCTCAATAAAAGGTGGCTGTTATTTATAGCAACAGGCTCATCTATTCCTAACTATTATCTTTTGTCTGAATTACTCAAAAGACAAATCCAGCAAATGCCAGGTAATTAATATGGCCTCTGAGTTGATTTTTGCCTGCTGAAACTCTTCCTCTTGAAAAATAAATTTTCAAAAGACCTTCTTGTGAACAGGAACACCAGTGTTCAATGAGTAAGTGTCCTATGGCTGTCTAATTTAGTCAGGTTTTAGATTTAAAAGGGCTTTGGCCTAATTACCTCCCCTATTAAATGAGAGCCTGGCTACTTGCCCTTTTTAATCTGGGGGGGCATTTATGAGACCCAAAGGGATGTGAGATTTGCAAAGTGTGAGACACAAACAGAGCACTCTCCTACTCACACGGGTGGGAGCCGCCAGCTGAAAGGCTACAGCAGCAGTGATCCGAGGGCTCCAGAAACACCGGCCCCCACACATTTGGAGAAGCAGGCCACTTTTTCACATTTATAAGCTGAGCTGGTACATAACGAACTAAAAAAAAAGTTAGGCAGGAAGCAGCCTTTTCAACCAGTGAAGAAACCGTTAGAATCCATCCCTTTGCCCCGATGCCAAAGCTCCGCCTGCCCCACCCAGCCACGCTATCAAGGACACTCAGGCTATCAGAGAGCCCTGGGGATATTTGTCCCTAGTTTATCGAGGACCTGTGGAAACATTTCTCTAACTGAAGATAAAGAATTCTTTCCTCTCTCTCCATTCTACTTCTAGCTACCTACCAGAAAGTTCCTCTAATTTTCTTTCAGTAACTGCAGTTCTGAAAAGAAGATATTTTTCAACCTGGACTTGAAGTAACTGGTGGAGAGGCAGGTAAGATGAGTTTTATTCACTCATTTGTTCATTCATTCATTTCTTCAATAAATATTTTTCAGGGTACTTATTACTTACTAACTAGATCCTGGGCTAAGCTTTTGGATTCAGTTCTGAGCAGAAGGCGCTTGCAGTCTCTGGGGAAGTCAAACAGTCCTTAGCAATCACCAAATATCAAATTACAATATGAGAACAATCATTAACTGTGACTTAACCTGGGAGTGAGATCCTATAGTTGTGCATCCTGATCTAGTCACTGGGGGCTCAGTTGGGAGGGTTCCCTAAAGAAGTAACATTTGAGCTGAGAAGGAATGTGTATAATAGTCTTCTAGATTTCACTCTTGCCTTCCAAGTGGGTATTTTCAGGGTTAAAAAAATGCCTCAGGGCAAGAAAGACTAGCTGCCATTCCATGCCAGTCCTGTTTCTGATACCAAGTCACGATTACTTGACCCTCATGAAGGTTAGAATGGAAATGACTTATTGGAATGATAGAGAAGCCAGCATAAACCTGCCAGGACTTCCTTTAAGATTCAGTTCATTTTGCAAAAGTTGCCAGATAAAAGATATTTCCAGATGAAGGGCCATGCAGGAAATACAAATGGAATATTATTCAACAGCTCTTCCTTGCAAGATATGACCCAAGGCGTCCTTCTGCAATATGATGGGAAGCACTGTAGCCTGAAAGCTTGATGGGAACTGAGCTGGCCCACAGCAGCCCTGGGGCCTTTGAAAAGGGCTGTGGCCTGAAGGGGCATTAAAGATGCTCTACTTATATGATCCCACCCTGCCACCACCACCCAAACTGGAGCCTGTGCCTGCTCCATGGTAACTCTGGGATTCTCAGAGGTGAGGGCAGATAGAGATCTATAAGATCACTGAGTTGCTTTAAGAATGTGTTCTTGCATAATAGCAAATTGCACCCTTTTCCCCTGTGCTTAGAGCCAAGTGGGCCCCTGCAAAGATAGTCATCTGGAAGTTGGGGAACAGCACTGCTGACAGAGGCCTAGGTGGGCAGGAATTACCACTGGAGGACCTGAAGAATATCTCCGAGTTCATGGGACTGGCTTCACCATAACATTGGGTTGTTAAATGGGTCCACAGATGACCTGAGAAGACTGCGAGCTCCTGAAATAACAGACAAAATTCTGCATGTTGGCAGACATGCACCTAGATGGTCTTGAATTTTCAACAGTTTTGTGTGTGTTTGTATGATAAAATATACATAACATAAAATTTACCATTTTGACTAGGCCCAAGTGCACAGTTCAGTGTCATTAAGCACATTCACACTGCTGTGCAGCCATCACCACCATCCATCTACAGCACTTCTTTGTTCTTCCCAAACTGAAGCACTGTAACCATTCAACAGTAACTCTCCCCACTCCCCCAGCTCCTGGCCACCACTATTCTACTTTCTGTCTCTATAAATCTGACTACTCTAGCACAACATATGAATGGAATCATATAGTTTTTGTCCTTTTGTGATTGGCTTATTTCCCTTTGCATGGTATCTTTAAGACTCATGCATGTTGTAGTATACGTATCAAAATTTCCTACCTTTATTAAGGTGGAGTTATATTCCATTGTGGGCATATACCACTTTTTTTTAATCCATTCATCTATAGACACTTGGGTTGCTTCCATTTTTTGGCTATTGTAAATAATACTGCTATATGAATGTGGGTGCACAAATATCTGTTTGAGTCCCCCTGCTTTCAGTTCTTTGGGGGCATATACCCAAAAGTGGAATTGCTGGATCATATAGTGATTTTACTTTTAATTTTTGAGGGACTTACAGGTTGTGTTTCCTAGTAGCTGCACTACTTTACATTTCTACCAGCAGGGCACAAGGGTTCCTGTTCCTCCACATCTTCACCAACACTTGTTATTTTCTGCTTTTTTGATAAAAGCCATCCTAATGGATGTGAAGTATCTCATTGTGATTTTGATCTGCATTTTTCTAATAATTAGTGACGCTGAACATTTTTCCATCTGCTTAGCTAGCAGCCATTTGTATATCTTCTTTGGAGAAATGTGTATTTGCACATTTCAAAATTGGGTTGTTTATTTTCTTGTTGTTGAATGATAGGAGATCTTTATATAGTCTGGATAGTAGCCTCTTATCAGATATATGGTTTGCAAATGTTTTTTCCCATTTCATGGCTTGCCTTTTCACTCTGTTGATGCCCTTTGATAGTTATTGACTTTGATGTAGTCAAATTTACCTTTTTAAATTTTTTTGTGTGTGCTTTTAGTGACATATTTTAAAAAACCGTTAACAAATCCAATGTTGTGTAGGTTTTTCCCTGTGTTTTCTTCTGAGAATTTTATAGCTTTAGTTACCAGGTTTTTAAGAAGTGTGTGACTGACAATGCATGGGCCAGCTTTAATTCTGATTCTGGGGTGACCTTCCTCATAAATGCAAAAACTCTCAGGTCTTGGTGAATGCCAATGTAAATCTAGGACCTGGGAAACTGATAACATAGATGGGATTCTTTTAATTCAAAAGGAATTATTGCGTGTCTCTTTAATGTCAGTAACCTGGGAGCTGGTGAAATAAAAACCATGGCCTCTCTTCTCCAAGAACATAAGGCAATTTTGAGGTGGTAAGATGCTGCACACAAGTTATATCATTGCCCTTCAAGTCAGGGTCTAATGAGTACCTAGCCAGGCCCTAGTGCCAAGAGTTATGAGAACTCAGGAAGGGATCAACCACCATGAGCTTTAGGGGACAGAGAAACCTTCAGAGTAAAGGTATAGCTTGAACTGGGTCCAGGTTGGGAGAGGCAGAAAGGACTGAGGAGCATTTTTTACTAACAGCTGTAACGATGCCATTTACTGAGCACTTACAATGTGCCAGCCACTGTGCTCTGTCTGCTGCATATATTACCTCAGTTATTCCTCCTGACTCTGTGTTTATCATTGTCTCTGTTTTATCACTGTGTGCACCGAAGCTCAGATATTTCCCTAAGGTTAATTACCTCAATAGTAAGTTGTGAAGCAGAGACTTAAAACTATATTTATTTATCCTCAAAGCGTCTATTCTTAACCACTCTACTATTCTAGCACCAAAGTTTTGAAACACAGACAAAGCAGACATTCCAGATAGAAAGAACAGGATAAGACAATGCATAAAAATGGGCACAAGCAGGGTAATTAAAGTAGAGGAGGCTCAGCCCGTCTGGGTGGGACACTCAGGCTCTAGGGGTATGAGATATAAAGTTGAATTGATGGAGTGGGCAGGGTTACCCTTAATGGAAGTATGTGGAGTCTTGATCTGCTAGAAGAACAGAAGCACACATATAGCTGCAGCTCTAACCTTCCAGTCTGCCTCTTCTCTCTATACAAATGAGAACATTGAGATCCCAAAAGGTTAAGCAATATGCTGATGGTCATAGGCCATAGGGAACCATTGCAAATTCTTGAGCAGAGTGGTGACAGTGACAAAAACAGTATTCCAGACAGGTTAGTTTGGCAGTCAGATACATGAGGGGCAGCTGAAGGGAAGCAGAGAAAACTGGCAGAAAGAAGCAAGCAGCTCTTTCCTTGGTTCCCACTGAAGGATACCTCCCTCAGCAATGGGTATTTCTGGGGGGTATCACAGACAAGACTCCTTTCCATTGAGGCTTGAAGCTTGGAAGGCAAGTGTTATCAGGAAAGTCAGAACTGCCTTCCTCTGTCAGGCTCAGAGCCTTCAGCTTAATATGAGTGCCAGAAAACACAGCTTCCCCAGAAGCAGCCTGAACCTTTTTTTCAGTGGAAGGCCTGTCTGAAATGCAAGATCTCAGACCAGAGAACCCCACCAGTAAAAAGCCATGGCCAGGGCAGACTCATGGTGTCATCTTTCTGTCTCCCTCCTAAGCCTGAGGCTGGGCCAAGTCTTTGTAAGCCTAATCCACATGTCCCATGGGGTTCTTACAGCAGGTGCAACAAGGCAAGAGGCCCCAGGCAAGGGGGTGACCCACCCTGCTTAGGCTGGATGCTCTTTGTGGCAGAACTCCAGTTTATCCACCTATGTTCTTCCAAGAAAGTACTGCCCTGGTTGACTATCCTCTTCTGATAGTTTCTCTTTGCTTAATTAATTCTAATAATAGCTGCCACCCATTGAGCACTGTGCTAAGCATTTGACATGCATGATCTCATTTTACTCCTAAACTCTGTGATAAGATATAATTATCCCCATTTTATACATGATGGAACTGAGGCTCAGAGCTGTCAAATAATTTACCGAAAGCATGTAGCTAAAGGAGCCACAACTAAAACATAAGCCTGTCTATCTCGAAGTCTGGATCTTTACACATACAATTGCATTCTACACATTGGTTCACTGTAGCCATGTCTTCTTGTGGGCTTGGGGGCTCTGCAGTGTAGAATCAAGCTTCAAATAGGTGCCTTGTTGCTTCTGGATACCACCTGTATCTGAGTGTTCTCATGAGCCAAGACACTGATCTCTCCCAAACCAAGCCCTTGAGCCTGAATCTGAATGGTATCTGGGCCCTTATCTTCTCCCAAAAGTGATGCTCAAGGCTGACAAGGGATCTTCAAGTTCCTCTCAACTTTAACCCAGAGAGATGGCGTGAGAAAGCTTTGGTCATTCATTCAGTGAATGTCTATTAGGAGCCTACTCTGTGCTAGGCACATTCTAAGTGTTGAAGACACAACTGGGAGCAAGTCAAAGAATTTCTGTCTTCATGGAGTTTCCATTCTAACTGGGAATAAATGGCAAAACAAAACACACAAAAAACTACAAATCCATACATAGTATAGTACATAAGTAATGGTGATACAAGAAAGAAAAATAGAGCAGGATAAGGGGACTGAGAATGATGAGAAGTGGGGTTTTAAAAGGCTCTTCTAAGGATAGAACATCTGAACAGACCTGGATGAAGTACATGGGGGCCATGGGATGATCTAGAGGAAGATCATATCAGGCAGAGGAAACAGCAAGTACAAAAGCCTCCATAGAAATCATCTTAGTTTGTTTTAAGGAATAGAAAAG